GTCTAGAAATTACATTTCTCAGTGCCCACCTTGCCACCTGACACCACTGTGATCACCACAGCTGCCTGTCTGGCTGCTCTTTGCAATCTGCATTTAACCTCTTGTGACTAAGTTCAATGATCTTGAAATTTTAACTCTCAGCTGGCAACACAGACCATTTGGCCCAGGCTCAATAAAGGATAATGTAGCCTCTCCCTTACTGGAGCTGCAACAAAGACTCAGGAAAAAGAAAGTGGAAGAACTGAAAACCAAATGTAACAAATCTACAAAGGAGAAAGGTGAATTATGGATAGGGTGACCAGTTGTCCTAAATTGACTAGGGCTGTCCCAGATTTTACTTTTGATGCTGTCTTTTGATGCATGGACATTTTTAAATTTTATGAAATTCAGGTTATCTATTTTTCCTTTGGTTGCTTGTGCTTTTGGTGTCATATATAAGAAAATGTTGCCTGATCCAAGGTCATGACAGTTTACACCTATGTCTTCTAACAGATTTATAGTTTCCTCTCCTACATCTATGTCTTTGATCCATTTTAAGTTTTTGCATATTATATGAAATAGGGATCCAATTAATTATTTTCCTTATGCATATCCAGTGTTCCAGCACCATTTGTTGAAAATACCATTCTTTCCCCCATTGAATGGTCTTGGCACCCTTATAAAAAGAATCAATTGACCATAGGATGAGTTTATTACTGGACTGTAAATTCTATTCCATTTTCTATATATCTTAGTACCACTTACTGTACCTTTGTAGTAGGTTTTACATTACTTACCATCGGTTTGTAGCAAGCTTTCAAATCAGGGTATGTAAGTCCTCCAACTCTGATCTTCTTTTTCAAGATTCTTTTGGCTCTCTGGATCCCTTTCATTTCTATGAATTTTAGGATCGGCTTGTCAAAAAAAAGTTAGAATTTTGATAGGGATTGCCTTCAATCTGTAGATCATTTGGGGAAATATTGCCATCTTCACAATATTAAGCCTTCTAACCTATGAACACAGGATGGTTTTCCATTTACTTAGACTTTTAAAGTTTTTTCTCTCAACAATATTTTGTACAAGTGTACAAGTCTTGTACTTCTTTAAACTTATTCCTAAGAATTTTATTTTTTTCACGTTGTTATAAACAGAATTTATTTCTCAGTTTCATTTTCAGATTATTCATTGCTAGTATATAGAAATACAACTGAATGGGGCGCCTGGGTGGCTCGGTTGGTTAAGCTTCTGCCTTAGGCTCAGGTCATGATCTCAGGGTCCTGGGATTGAGTCCTGCGTCCTAGGGCTCCCTGCTCAGTGGGGAGTCTGCTTGTCTCTCTTCCCCTCCCTCTTGCCCGTGCTCTCAGTCTCTCTCTCTATCTCAAATAAATAAATAAAATCTTAAAAAAAAGAAAAAATGTCTTAAAAAAGGAAATACAACTGATTTTTATATATTGATATATCCTGCAACCTTGCTGAACTGGCTTATTGTCTCTAAAAGCTTTTTTTGTGAATTCTTTTTTTTTTTTTTTAAAGATTTTATTTATTTGACACAGAGAGAGAGAGCACAAGTAAGCAGAGCAGCGGGCAAAGGGAGAGGGAGAATCAGGCTCTCCGCTGAGCAGGGAGCCCCATGCAGGGCTTGATCCCAGGACCCTGGGATCATGACCTGAGCGGAAGGCAGACGCTTAACCAACTGAGCCACCCAGGCGCCCCTTTATTTGTGAATTTTTTAGCAGATGTTCTTGTCCTGTTCCTGATCTTAGGGGACATGCTTTCAGTTTTTCACAATTAAGTATGATGCTAGCTTTGAGTTTTTGTAGTTGCCCTTATTATTATTAGGTTGAGGAAATTCCCTTCTTTTCCTAGTTTGTTGGAGGTTTTTATTGCAGAAGAGTACTGTGTTTTATCAAAAGCTCTTTTTCATCTACTGAGAAGATTATGTGGATTTTTCCCTTTATTCTATTAATGTATTGCATTGATAATTTTCCATTTGTTGAGCCAATTTTGCATTCCTGGAATAAATCTCACTTGATTATGATATATAATCCTTTTTCATTATTTCTTGAGGGCACAGGTTTTACTTTTACTTCTTTGTGTCACCCAAAGTACTCAAACAGTACCACAACTGGATCCAGAATTAATGCCCAAGACATGCAATCATCATTAATAGTACTGCCATCTTTAACACTAACATGAGCACAAGGTGATGACAATTTGAACTAGAATGACAGATCCAACTGAGGAATCTCACTTTACAGAGTAAGATAAAACTTAAAGACTCTTAGCCCTAGGGGACTTCTAAATTTTTGAATGTTGTTGAATAATCCTTACATTCCTGGAATAGGCCTTGCTTGGTCAAGATCCTCTATTCTTTATATATTTTTTAATGTTTTTTTTAAGAAAGAACATAGTCACAAGAAAAAAAATTAAGTGTCCAGCTTAGTGAATTCTCAAAACAAAACATCTGTTTAACCAGTGAACAGATCAAGAAGCAGAACATTATCACCACCCCCACCATTCTTACAAATATTGCTTTGTATTCATTACAAAGAAGACAATTATGTTTTTAAAATGAATACCTCAATTTGTCATGAACCTTTAAATATAATGTTATAATTTTTCTTATTCCAGGATCATGTAATTTAGTAAGTAAAATTATTAGCATGTATGTCATGCTTTATTCTGGAATTGTCTATAGCTGCACTGACTAATACAGTAGCCGCCAGCCATATAAGGCTACTGAGCACCTGAAATGTGCTGTAATTGTAAAATATACTGCAGACGATGCCAAAGGCTTAGTACAAAACAAAGAATGTATAATATCTCATTAATAAGTTTTACAGGTGGTAATGATAGTATTTTGGATATACTGGGTTAGAACATATTATTAAAATTAATTTTACTTTTTTTAATGTGGCTAATAAAAAATTTTAACTTACATATGTGGCTCATGATTATATTTCTATTGGACAGTGTTGGTCTATATTCTGCAATTAAATAAGTGGATAAGGATTGTCTTAATACTTCCTATGTACCTTACTGAAAGTTCTTTTTGACAAAAATCATGCTGTAGGCTACTTTGTACCCGCCAATACTGACACACTGTTGTTGGCATATCCTTGATATTTAATAAATACTTCTTAACCATTTAATAAACTTTACTTTTTGCTTTTTAAGTTAAGATTTTTTTTTTTTTTTTTGCTTTTTAAGTTAAAAATTCCACACTGTTTGGCTACATGATGATAACATTCCTAAGAGAAGAAGGAAAGATGGCAAAAGTCTGTATAGAAACTGAAAGAGGGGCGCCTGGGTGGCTCACTTGGTTAAGCGACTGCCTTCGGCTCAGGTCATGATCCTGGAGTCCCGGGATCGAGTCCCGCATCAGGCTCCCTGCTCAGCAGGGAGTCTGCTTCTCCCTCTGACCCTCCCCCCCGATGTGCTCTCTCTCTCTCTCTCTCATTCTCTCTCTTTCAAATAAATAAATAAATAAATAAATCTTTAAAAAAAAGAAACTGAAAGAATAGGAATTGGGTACGAAAAATATGAATTGACATTTTAATATTTTTCATCAAAAACAACTTTCTTGAATTGTAATTCCTTATAGATTCACATGAATTATGTTACCCTTAGTGTAGCATATGTATAAACAAATTATTTTCAAACACTCTATCCATTTTTATATGAATAGGGACTTTTCCTTGTTTAGGTGAAATGTTTCCTTTTTTTGCCCATTGGTAGAGTACTGCGAAACACTAATTACTTAGTCATAACAGGGGTAGCACACTATGGACTGATTATTCATTTCATTGGATATTATCCAAATGGAGAACTGTGATCACTGCCACAGGCCAAACAGCCAGGTTCTGCTTGGAGAATTGCTAAACATGTTCATTTCTTGAATTATAATTTTGTATTATGTAGACTTTGAAAGATATTAAAGTGTAACTTCTGAACTTTGTGAGAGAAAGATAGGCCCCAAAGGATCTCAGAGTCACTTTATACTTCATCTGACATGGGAAACCTAGGCTGAATCAGAATCTTTTGGTGGTAGGGAACAGAGACTCATTCAAAGTGATGCCCAGAGTGGTGGGTGTTTACTATGAAAGGGTAACTAGAATACAGTTTGGAAAGTGGACGGATCCAGTGCAGCCTTAGGGACCTGGATACTCATATCCCCCTGGAGAGCAGGTGTTTGTTGCTCTTATTCCATCACTGGGTCTCAGCTTCTCTTAGAGTTTGCTTCTACCATTTCTGCCCCCACCCACCTTCTACTTCATCCCAGGGGCTTTCTGCTTACTCCAGGGTTTTGCTTTCGGGAGGCCCATTCTCTCTACTCCAGCCTCAAGCCCTCTCTCAGCTTCAGCCTTTCTATGGAATAGCTCGTTCTTTGCTCTCCCCTTTCAATTTCCAAGGGAGAATCTGATTGGCTTACTTAATTATCAGAGTCCCTATTTGGTGAGGATTGTTTGCTCCAGGTCACCTTCTAGGATGATGGCCAGTTTATAGATTGTGTGCTCTTGGGTCACATGATCACATGATCTAATCAGCCATTGGGGGGGCATGGGGGGCGGTGGGGGGTGCTCTTTTGGGTTATTTGTGCAACCTTTGCCTTAGGAATAGTTTGGGTCATTTCAGCAGAGCCCCCGTTTCCTTTTTATAAGGGATTCTGGGTATAGCACGCATCTCTCTTTCTCTCTTTGGCGCGCGAGTAAAACAGACACTGAGTAAAACAACAGTGACTAAAATAAAGGGAATATAAATACATCGATTGAACTATGCAGTTAAATGTAGGAAATAATGAATGAAGAAAAGAAGGAAGATTCACTCAGGATCAAGAACTAGCACTGTCCTAGTAAAATTTCTTTGCAATAGAACAAGTTGGATTTTAAGAATGCTCCCCCCCCCCCCCGCCCCCGCCTCGCCCATCAGTCTATGCCGCTGCCATGTTCGTAGTTTTCTGGAGACCCCTGCTCCTGGCACACAGAACCAATGTTACGTTCCTTCTAGATCCCGGCAGTCATCACATTGGGGGCGCTTTATTTCTTACGTTAGGAGAGAGATCCTGGCAGGAAATCTATGCCCAGGATCAGATGCGGGGGTTGGGGATCATCGGCACCGAGTGGCGTAGGGGAAAGCTGGCAGCAGTCGAAGTTCGAGTCCGTATTCCTAGAAGCCTCGGGCGCCCGGCCACCTGTCTGGAGTCTGCCCCCGTCCCGGGCATCTCCTCCGGGGAGTTTCCTCCGCAGAGGCTTGTCCCTGGGAGTGTGGGCGGCCCCTTTCTCGAGCGCTTGAACTCTTACCTCCCACCCCCCTCCTCCTCACCAGCCTTTCTCTTCTGCCTCGGCCACTTCCTTCCTCAGTCTCTTCCTCCCCGGTGTGTTGAAGAAGATAACCGGGTCCGGCCCGACGCTGCACCAGCTTTTCCTCGGAAAAGAAAAAGAGGCGGATAGGTGAGTGTAGGTGAGTGGGTCTCTCGGGGAGGGGACAGGCAGGTATAAACGACGGACGGAGGTGTCCGGGGGAGGCCAGGCGGACGCGCGATCGGGGGCTGCGGGTGGGGAGATGGGGCTGGGAGGGGCCGAGGCGCGTGGAGACTGTGCTCGGAACTGGGCTGAGACCCGGCGCCGGGGACCGGGTGGGCGCGCCCCCACGCCCCCGCTTCCCCGCCGACTTCCGCATCGGCTCACGTGACACGGTGCCGGCCCGGGGCTGCGGGGAAACTGGCTGCGCGCGAAGGTTCCCTCCGCGGTGCGGCTCGTCGGCTTTGCCCCTGCAGGCGGCGCGGGGGCGCGTTCTGCAGCGCCGGGCGGGGAAGGGCCGGGAGCGAGGGGAGAGGCGGCCCCGAGGACTGCGGTGGCCCCCGCGCCGGGGACTCTGCGGCGCGGGCGGTGGGGTGCGGCCCCTACGCTCCAGACCGTGGGGGTGGCGGGCGGGGGTGGTGAGAGACCCGAGGGGCTCGGGGAGCCCCGGGCGGGGTCCGTTTCCGTCGCCCGGTTGGGGCGCTGGCTTTCGCGGCTCGCCGGGGCGCACCGGCCACCGGGGAGCGCGGGCGGGCGGCGCTGGCAGAGACAAAGGCTTCCGGGACGCGGCCCTCCCCTCGGGGGCTACCCTGGAGCCCGCCGTGCGGCCCCGCCACCCCCCGAGTCCCGCGCTCCCCAACCTGCACTGGTGCGGGTGGTGACCGTGTGACGGCCTGCAAGGGACAGGAGCTTGGGACCCCTTCCGGGCCAGCTCCCAAACTTGGAGCGGCGATGACCAAATATGGAGCGTGTGCGCGCCAGCGGGCAGGCAGGAAGGAACCCAAGTCATCCCTTGACCCACACCAGCTGCTAGTCCCGGATTGCGAAGCACCGCTGAAAAACGTGGCCAGCGCCGGGGCGTGGATGTAGGGCTGGCTGCTGATTCCCAGGCGTTCCCACTCCAGCAGGCTTTATTCCTCGAACATTAGGGCATCTCCATGTATTGCCTCTAAACTTAAACTAAACAAAACAGAAACTATAAAAAGGTCCTTTAATATATTCTCAAGTGTATTTTGATGGTGGAGCATTTCGGCATACGGCCCAATCCTCCGACCTTCCGCTTTCTTTGTGATTCCCACGCACAATGCCTAATTAGATTCTGACACAGTTAGAGGACCCGACTAACATCTGCCACCGCCTTGCCTGGAGCTCCCGCAGAAAATCTCTTTCTTCCCCTTCACACTTGCTCTGCTGATGGCCTCTCTTCATTGTTCTTGATCTTGCTGCTCACTCCGGTCCCAGCCTTCTGTCCTTATAGAATGTGATGGGCCTCAAGGATTGTGTAACAGCGAGTATTCCCCCGCTTTGTCCCCGCTAAATAATAAAATAAATAAATCATGCCAAATTTTGTGTGCTAGCAATAGTTCCTAAGGCTGTTGTTTTCCTACTTGTAGGGGTCTGGGCAGGGAGCCTTTCTTGCTTTGTAAGTGTTCTGCCTTAGTACGCACTCAGCATGTAATATTCCAAACAAACACAACTCACTATTATATTTAGCACACTTTGCATAATGACCGGGAAGAAGATGAAGAGGAAAAGAAAAAAATAGAATGATGTTGTAGAAACAGCATTTAATTGTGGGGAGTCCCTCTGAGCCAGTTTCATCATCCATAAAATGTTTTTTGTTTAAGATTTTATTTTAAAGATGTTATTTATTTATTTTACAGAGAGCAAGAGCACAAGCAGGGGGAGCAGCAGGCTCCTGGCTGAGCAAGGAGTCCCAATGTGGGGCTCGATCCCAGGACCCTGAGATCATGACCTGAGCTGAAGGCAGACGCTTAACTGACTGAGCCACCCAGGCGCCCCGCCCCTTTTAAAAAGATTTTTATTTATACATTTGAGAGAGAGAGAGAGCACAGGTGGGGGGCAGGGGTGGAGGTAGAGGGGCTGAGGGAGAAGCAGACTCCCCGCTGAGCAGGGAGCCCGATGTGGGGCTCCATCCCAGGACCCTGGGATCATGACCCGAGCTGAAGGCAGACGCTTAACCAACTGAGCCACCCGGTGCCCCTATAAAATGGGTTTAAATAATACATACTTTGCAAGGTTTCTTAGGACATAGATAAGGAGTCTCGTGTGTAATTAATTATAAAGAAATGCCGGTTGCCTTCCTTTCTTTAAATTGGATCTCCATACATCTGCTTAATATGATGCAGGTATTCACACTACGTAATAGTGGGATTTCCTCTTTGAGTCTCATTAATAAACAAGAGCTAGGTCTGAAGTGTCCTGCTGATTGTGGGGAGGGCAGTGTTAAAGAGATAAATGTTCAGAGTGGGAGGAAATCAGAAAACCTGAGAATTGGTGAGGACGTTAGTCCCCTTGGACATTTCATTCTCCCTTCCGTTTGGGCTAATTTCCGTGATCACTAACCCTCACAGATCCATACTACTTGCATCAGTGTTGTCAGTAACAGGTGCAAACTTTATTCATTGTTAGAGAGTTTTGACTGTTAGGACATTTTTTTCTTACATGGCTCCCAAATCTTCCTATTACATCTATCTATCCTACCCAATAAAGCAGCATGAAACAACACTATCACATAAATACCTAAAAGAAACTTTAATGTTAAAAAATGGTCGCAGGTCTTCTCTAGGCTGACTTTATGGATCAAGATTCCTTAGAGTACAAGTGACAGAAACTCAATCAAACCAGCACAAGCAAAACCAGGAAAGATTGATTGGTTCATGCAACTGGAAAGTCCAGGGTCGTATATAGGCTCAGTGATCGTAACATGCCTGGGCTTTTCTTAATGTCAACATTATTCCTGACAGGCTGTTTTCACATGGTCACAGTTTACATTAGGGGCTCTAAACTTACATCTTAGAACCTAGTGGGAGGGTGTTGTTTTACTGATCTGGCAAAATCCCTGGGCTGAATCTCATTGTTTAGGATGGGATTACTGACCTTATGCCCCAGATCAATTATTCTGGCTCTGACCCACTCCTGGGCTTTAGGGTGAGGCTCTACCAAATTCCATTGGTTTAGAACAAGGAAGGAAAAACGGGACCCAAACAAAAATTAGACTGCTCTAGCTGGAATGGGGAATGGGTGCTAGGTAGGCAAAAATGACTGCTGTCCACCACACTAACATCTCCAGGGTTTTTTCTACCATTATTTTCATGGCCTATCTTTCTGTTGTATCTTCTGATTATATTTCAACTTTTTAGCATCCCTCAAATTATCTCGAATTGAATATAATGTTATAGATATAATTTCACCAACACAAAGCTCTCAATATTTGGAAACTATAATTTTTGATACTGAATTTTATGTAGATGCATTACCCAAGATGTTGCATTTTATTGCAATAAACACTTTTTTTTGTGTGCAAAAAGGTGGTTTTATTAAAGCACGGGGACGGGACACATGGGCAGAAAGAGCGACTGCTGCAATAGACACTTTTTTTTTTTTTTAAGATTTTACTTATTTATTTGACAGAGACACAGCGAGAGAGGGAACACAAGCAGGGGGAGTGGGAGAGGGAGAAGCAGGCTTCCTGCAGAGCAGGGAGCCCGATGTGGGGCTCGATCCCAGGATCCTGGAATCATGACCTGAGCTGAAGGCAGACGCTTAACGACTGAGCCACCCCGGCGCCCCGCAATAGACACTTCTTAAATGATAATATTCACACAAATGATGTAGCAGGTAGTAGTGGTGCTTTTAGTTATGAGCTGATAGAAAACCTGGGGTACTAATCAATATCACTTAAACATAGATTTCATTCTTGTTTTTCAAAGTTACCAGGAATTAGTTACAATCTGTCTGGATACAATTGTTTCTTCCGAATCGTCACTCCAAAGTAAACCATTCATACAACCCCACTTTTTTAGTCCCTTCTTTGTTTGGAAAACAGACTGAATTGATGCATAATCTGCCAGTGGCCCCTACTTTCTCTCATGTTCTGTTTCCCCTGAGTTCCTGCCTTCTTAAAGAAACTCTCTTTACTGCCTTTACTTCTTTGACCCTGCATGGTTGGAGTTCTCTCCTCCACAACCAGCTGCTCTTTCCCTATTTCTTGCCCGCCCCCCCTTCTGTAGGTGTTTGCCACGTCCCTTTACCTCCCTTTTCTGTCTCTGAACACTCTTGCTCCAAATCAGCAACTCCATGGTGACAGTTTCCACAGGCGGTGTTTCATTCCCCTTCATGCCCTTGTCCTTTCAGTTTGAACCCAGTATTTATTGAGTTGGTACTCTTGGTGCCAGGTGGCAGTGAACATGACAGTCAGATTCCTGCATCGAGGGTCTTTACCATCTTGTGGTGAAAGCCAAGAAACTGATGAACATGACAGTCAGATTCCTGCATCGAGGGTCTTTTCCATCTTGTGGTGAAAGCCAAGAAACTGGTAATTCCAGCCATCTGAAATGGAGAGGGTGCACAATGCTATGGGGGAGGGCTCCTCCACCAGGTTTCAGGGAAGGCTTCCTGGAGGTAGTCATATCTAAGCTGGGACTGGATGTGTGGGAGTTAGCTGCGAGAAAGAAGAATAGCAACAGTCTGGGTCAAAGACACAGTATGTGTGAAGGTTGGAGGTGGGAGAGCCAGGGGCGTTTGAGGAATAGAAAGAAGCTCCATGTAGCTGCAGCCCAGAGTTCAAGGGTGGAGGGTGGAGGAGGCCATGATGGTGTGCGGAACCCAGGCTGGAGAAGACCTAGTGAACCAAAGTAGGTGTCACAGCTCCTGTTAGTCCTGGCCTCTTCCTTATCTGAGATGAATGGTCCTTGCCACCAGCTCTCCACTGGACACTGCCCAGGGAAGGACCCGATGCCCTGTGTGTGACCCACAGGCATCATCACACCTAACAATATTAAAATTGCCCTGTATTGGTCTGCTTTCCCCACTAGACCACAGGCTCTGGGAGGGTTGGGAGTGTGTTCCTTTATCTTGGTCCTCCAGCTTCTAGCTTAGAGCCTGCCTCAAACGTGCCCATGCTTTTCCTCCTTTGCTTCTGTGCTTTTGCATGCACTCTTCCCCACTCATAGAGCACCCTTTGCCAACTGTCTCCCTAGTCCACATCTCTCCAGTGACCTCTACAAAGTCTTTGGTGGCTTCTTCCTTTGAGGTCCCATAATGCCTTGGACCCACCACTCAAAGAATGCTGTTACATTGCCATTATTCATTCTAGGTCTTTCTCTGCTTCTGGACAGTGAGTTTCCTGAGGGCAGGTCCTGTGTCACTCACCTTTGTGTTTTTGGTGCAGAGCAGAGCATCATGAGGATGGGCTTAGAGTTTAATAGTGGGTGCTGCTTCTCCCCACTATCCTATGTAGTATAAGAGTGGGGTCAGCACAAAGGGGCAATTATAAAGACAGAGGGGAAGTAGCGGTACTCCAGTGTCATGTACATCACACAAGTATTTTTAGGAAGAGGGATGTGGTAAATTAACAATGACAAATGCAACATGGGGAAAAAAAAGAGGGGTGCCTGGGTGGCTCAGTTGGTTAAGTGGCTGCCTTTGGCTCAGGTCATGATCACAGGGTCCTGGGATCGAGCCCCACATCGGGCTTGCTGCTCAGCGGAGAGCCTGATTCTCCCTCTCCCTCTGCCTGCCGCTCCCCCTGCTTGTGCTCTCTCACTCTCTTTCTCTGTCAAATAAATAAATAAAATCTGAAAGAAAGAAAGAAAGAAAGAAAGAAAGAAAGAAAGAAAGAAAGAAAGAAAGAAAGAAGGAAAGAAAGAAAAGAAATGGCCCTTGCATTTGGCAAGATGTGCTTAGTGGGATTATAGAAATGGTAATAATATAGCATTTTTTTTCTCCCTCAGGCAGCAATGAACGTGGATCACGAAATTAACCTCTTAGTGGAGGAAATTCATCGTCTGGGTTCAAAAAGTAAGTATTCTAACACAGCCACAGTATTCTGAGTTTACCTCAGAGCAGGTAGGACCAGCTTTTTTGGTAGAAGCCTAGGAAGGGGTCACCCAGGACTTCAGGACATGGTTATAGCAGCTCTGCCCTCAGCCATAGAGAGATTTCTGGAGACAAAGCCTTTGGGGTATTGTGATTCTGATGCAAGGAATGGTTGAGATATTCCATCATCCCTTTAATAGAAAGAAAATTACTGTGCTTCTTTAATCTGGCTGCATTGAATGGTGAGTGAATCATGTTCAAATTTTTAGTTGTCACAGTATTAAAATTCATTTCTTCTGCTTTATCTTGCCACCATCTTACAAACTTCCAAATGACTAGGGACTCAAATTGTCTTTATTTTCTCCAAATTCTTAAGTTTTGTATAACCAGGTATTTATGTACATGTAACTAAAAGAAACCATATCCTTTACATAGTGTTTTTTTAAAGATTTATTTTATTTTTTTGAAGACCTTATTTATTTATTTGACACAGAGAGAGAGAGAGAGAGAACGCAAGTAGGCAGAGTGCCAGGCAGAGGGAGAGGGAGAAGCAGATTCCCCACTGAGCAGGGAGCCCGATGTGGGGCTCGATCCCAGGACCCTAGGATCATGACCTGAGCTGAAGGCAGATGCTTAACCGACTGGGCCACCCAGGTGCCCGTGATTTATTTTAGAGAGAGGGGGAGAGAAAGAGAGAGTGCACAAGCTGGGGAAGGGACAGAGGGAGAGAATCTCAAGCAGACTCCCCGCTGAGCACGGAGCTGAACTCGGGACTTGATCCCATGACCCTGAGATCATGATCTGAGCTGAAATCAAGAGTCAGACACTTAGCTGACTGAGCCACACAGGCACCCCTACGTGGTTTTTTTTTAAATCAGCTTTTTCTTCAGCAACATACAAGCAGCTACTGTGAAATTAGTGCCATGTGAAATTGGTAGTATTAGTGTCCTTTTCCAAGTTGTAATGAAAGTAACTATTATGTTTTAGCTTCAGGTATTTGTACATCTCAGATAAGATATACAGGAGTTCAGGAACATTCTGAAAATTGTAAGAGCAATAGACATATTCAGCAACAACTAGGATAATGGAACTCAAAGTTTTAAAATTACATCATATAAAAAAATTAAATAAAATTACATCATTGTAAGTGAAAAACAGCTTTAAAAAGTACCTCGTAAGAGTTGTTTTGTCATTATAGCTTGAATTTTCTTACAGCTCAGTGTGCTTTTGAATCACAAATCACTTGAAATAAGACATACTTGGAAAATTCCATTGAGCCATTAGTATCAAATGTCCCCTGTAGTAGTTCTCCATTGTTGTTGTGAATCTTTTCTTTTTTTTTTTTTTTAAGATTTTATTTATTTGAGAGAGAGAGAAAGAGAGAGCGCATGAGCACAAGCAGGGAGAGGGAGAAGCAGACTCCCCACCGAGCAGAGCCCGATGCGGGACTCGATCCCAGGACCCTGGGGGATCATGACCTGAGCGAGAGGCAGATGTCGAACTGACTGAACCACCCAGGCACCCTGTGAATCTTATTTTCAGTAGTGAAAGAAACCCGTGTTCCTCATTTCTACCTTTCCAATTTCTTTGGAGCTCCGTGAGGTCATGCTCTTGGGAGTAGTACTATTGTTTAGATTGTTAAAGATATTAAGGATGTATTTCAAATGATCTGTAGGATTTTCCTCTCTCCTAGATCTGCCTCCATGTTAGCCTAGTGTTTATTGGTCAGATTCAATTGCATTTAAAATTCTGACCTTATGGGGCGCCTGGGTGGCTCAGTCGTTAAGCGTCTGCCTTCGGCTCAGGTCATGATCCCAGGGTCCTGGGATCGAGCCCCGCATCAGGCTCCCTTCTCAGAGGGAAGCCTGCTTCTCCCTCTCCCACTTCCCCCACTTGTGTTCCCTCTCTCGCTGTGTCTCTCTCTGTCAAAATAAATAAAATCTTTAAAATAAATAAATAAATAAAATAAAATAAAATTCTGACCTTTACCCTAGAACAGTTATTATTCTACTTGCACTTCAGAATTAGCAGCTTTACAAACTAGAAGACTACACAGTAATTACCATAATTTCTGTAAGGATGAAACGTTTTGAACTTTGCAGCTTCCCTAAGCCTCCTTCATTTACCTGTTCCTGGAAATAAATGACTTCTTGAGCTGGAAAGCATCTATGGAGATAGGTTATCTATGGACAGATTATGTTTAATTATGTAAGTTATGTCTGGGATAATTTTGTAAATTATGATTTAGGTGAATCATTTTTAGACTAATCTAAATATAATGTATTAGGTGAAGCTGGAAATTGATAAATTTAGTTTTATCTACTTCTTTTATTTTTCCGCCCAATTTTTACTTAATTCTAGTTAGTTAACCTATTTACTATTTCTTTTAAAATGAAATTCTTTAAAGTCTTTCATTTTTCATCCAGTGGAAAAAAAATAAGTGGATAAAGATTATTTGGAGATTTAAATTCTTTCATTCAACAAATATTTCTTGAGTGCTGTCTTTGTGCTCAAGTGCTGGACATATGAAAATAAACAAAATTCCATCTCAGCCCCATGGGCCTCTTTAGGTAGCAGGAAGACAGACAAATGAGCTAGAAGCACATATGGGGAAGTAGTTAAGAGCATGGGCTCTGGAGTCAGGCTCTCTAGGAATGAATCCCAGCTCCCCTGCCACTTACTGTGTGACCTTGGGCACATTACTAACCACTTTTATGCCTTGGTTTCCTTATTTGGATAATAATACTCTATTTCAATGATTCGAAGACACTTTTTTCCCCAAGCTTTAACATCTCTAAAATAAGAATGCATTTTATAATCCATGTTGTGCTATAATTAAATTGGCAGTTTAATTGGAACATAAAATAATGGTGCTTCTTGAAATGAATTGTGCCTTATCTTCCATGAAATAAGGATTAAGGGAGTTTTAATTACTATAAAATGCATTGAACAGGTCTAGGAGCATAGCAAGGACTCAATACATATTAACTATTATTACTGTAATTGATGGTGAGTGCTTTGATATATACTTAATTTTATAAGAAGTTATTAACTTGACTGAGGGAATCACAGAGCACTTCTCAGAAAAGGTGACATTTGAGCCCATTCTTGAAGAAAAAGAATTAGCTAGAGAAAGGGCTCTGGGATGCTGGGCAGATGGCTCAACATGGGCAAAACTGCCAGGGCAGGATCTCTCATGTCACCTTGGGTAATAGCAAGTGGTTTGATTTTGACTGGATCAAAAGGTGCATAGAACGATATGGCAGGAGACCAGGCAAGAGAGGAATGCAAGGGCCAGAGGATGAAGGGTCTTATCTGGAACGCCAAGGGCATCACTATTTGAAGGTGGTAGGGAGCCACTGAAAGATTGGAGTAGAAGAGTATCAATCAGGGGCGCCTTGCTGGCTTAGTCTGTGGAGCGTGTGACTCTTGATCTCGGGGTCGTGAGTTTAAGCCCCAACTTGGGGGTAGAGTTTATTAAAAAAAAAAGAAGACTATCAAACCGATTTGCATCTTAAAGGTTTCTTTCACATATTTTATTCTGCACCAATATGGAGGATGTATTGGGGGACAAAAATGCAGAAAGGGAGGATGGCAAGGAGTCTTGCAGTTATCCGCATGAGAATCAGTTCCAGCCTAAACCAAGAAATTAATTGTCCATGGAGAAGAGGCTAGAGCAACAGAAGATACAAAAGAAATGGAATCACTTATGAGATTGAGGAGGAGTGGGCAGAACTCCAAGATTATATCCAGGTTTCTGCCTTTTGTGCCTTTAAAAAACGTAACCTGGGGACACCTGGGTGGCTCAGTTGGTTGAGCATCCAACTCTTGGTTTTGGCTCAGATCATGATTTCATGGGTCCTGGGATCAAGCCCCATTTCTGGCTCTGCACTCAGCAGGGAGTCTGCGTGAAGATTCTCTCCCTCTGCCCCTCCCCCCCACTCTCTCTCTCTCAAATTAAAATAAGACTTTTTAAAAAAATGAAAAGCTCTAGGGCGCCTGGGTGGCTTAGTTGGTTAAGCGACTGCCTTCGGCTCAGGTCATGATCCCAGAGTCCTGGGGTCGAGTCCCGCATTGGGCTCCCGGCTCAGCGGGGAGCCTGCTTCTCCCTCTGACCCTCTCCCCTCTCATGCTGTTTCTCACTCTCTCTCTCAAATAAATAAATAAAATCTTTAAAAAAAAAAAAAAAGAAAAGAAAAGCTCCATATTACACTCCCTTTAAAAGCCAGCACCAGTGCTGCCTCCTTCTGGAAGTCTTCCCTTCCCATTCTAGCCCAGAGTCATCTTACCCTTCTCCAAACTGTAGGATGTCCTGTCTTGGCTACTTACTAGACATCCAGTCACGTACTGCTTTGTCCTATTGCTTTATTTATTATGTGTATATTTCTTACTTCCTCGTGGGAACTGAAGCCATTTCTTTGAAACTAGAAAGTGATTCTATCCTTCCCTCTACTTGCCCAGCACAGTGCTGCACTCACAGTAGGAATATACTAAGTCTCAGGTTAGAAGTTCTCATGGGAACTCAAGAACCCTTGGCCAAGGAATAGTCTCCCTCACTGTGATGGCCATGTCCTTGAGAGCAGGCACAGCTATCGGAGGGGAGAATGTGGAGCAGTGCTGAACGAAGGGAGTCAGGAGTTTAGCAGGTAGGTCAAAGCAATCAACCAACAATGGGGAGGTGTTTCATATTATTCTTATCTCCAAGTTTCCAGTTGATTGATTTTTAATCAAAGAGCCACCTTTTGTTTATCTTATTTTTTTAAAAAAGACTTACTTTTTATAGCAGTTTTAGAATACAATAAAATTGAGGAGAAAGTACAGAGATTTCCTGTATACCTGCTATCCCCACACCTGCATAGCCTCCCCCATTATCAACATCCCCCAGTGGAATTGCACTTTTATTACAATTAATCATCTACATGGATACATCATCAACCACAGTTCATAGTTTATAGTTCACGCTTAGTGTTGTACATTCTATGGGATTGGATAATATTTAATGACATGTATCAATCATTATAGTATCATACAGAGTATACTCACTGCTCTAAAAATCCTCTATGTTCTGCCTATTCATCTCTCCCCTACCCCAAGCCCTGAAACCCACTGATCTTTTTATTTAGTTTTATCTTTTTCCATAGTTTTGCTTTTTCCAGAATGTCCTATGGTTGGAATCATACAGCACATAGCCTTTTCAGATTGCCTTATTTTTCTTAGTAATACATATTTAAGGTTCCACCATGTCTTTTTGTAGCTTGATGGTTCATTTCTTTTTAGGGCTTACCTTAATTTTTAACAATTATATTAAAAATTGGTCTCCAATCTGTATAATCTACGGATCTGGTAAATACAAATAACTTCATTTTTAAGGTCACCAGTCCCTCCCTGGGGCTCTGAGTGTGTTTAGAACACACTTAGAGAAACACTGCTCCCGACCCAAACTTTTTCTTATATTTGTTATTTTTTTATTGATTCAACAACACCACAAATAAAAAATCAAAATGTAGGGGTACCTGGCTGGCTCAATCAGTTAAGTGTCTGCCTCTTGGTTTCAGCTCAGGTCATGGTCTCAGAGTCCTGGGATGGAGCCCCACTTCTTTGGCTCTGCATTCAGCAGGTAGTCTGCTGAAGGATTCTCTCCCTCTGCCTCTCCTCCCACTCATGCGTGGGTGCAGCATGCGCACACACTCTCTCTGACTCAAACTGATAAATAAATCTTTAAAAAAAAAATCAAAATGTAGCCAGAGGGGAATTGGTCCACAGTAATAACACTGTAACACATTCACTTTTTGTAAGTGGGTTTTAGTTCACTCCTAGTCTTGGTCCAGATGATCCTAAGGCTAGGAGGTGTACAGCACATGGTATTATTTCATCACTTTTGGGTCTGGCAAGAGATGACATTGAATTTATGAGTGTGAACTGTTAAATTGTAATCTTGGTTAACTTATAGTTAGATGTTTTTTAAAGATTACATAAATCTACCATATATGGGGGCAAGACTTTGCATTGGCTAACATTGTATTTTCTCAAATTAGATGCTGATGGGAAGTTAAGCGTAAAATTTGGGGTCCTCTTCCGAGACGACAAATGTGCCAACCTCTTTGAAGCATTGGTGGGAACTCTCAAAGCTGCAAAACGAAGAAAGATTGTTACGTACCCAGGAGAGCTACTTTTGCAAGGTGTTCATGATGATGTGGACATTATATTGCTGCAGGATTAATGTGGTTTGCATATCTTTGTTTATTGTTATTTTTTGTTTCTGGTCAACTGGAATGTTAAGTCAAGGGACAAACACAAGCATACTTAATGTATTTTTATAGAACTTTGTAAACAAAAGGAGACTCTTATTTTAAAAGTCTGTCTTTTTTTTAATACCTTGAAAGAAAATTTATGTATTACACTGTCAAATAAACAAAACCTATTTTTTTCCCTCAGGAATCTGATTGGAAAAATGTAGGCATTGAGGCTTTTTTGGTAGGGGTGCAAGGGTGTTTCATAAATCATTCTTAGACAATTTCTACAGATATTTGACATTCCATAAAAGCAAGAGGCAAAACTGAAGACCAGCTCCCACAAGGAATATTGTAATGTTTATGTAATAAAAACATGTAACTATGTTAAAATTGTCTGATTGCCTTACTTTTTGTCACTTAAGATTTATATGCCTCTTAGAAGTTTTTGCATCCAGATTAGATAACTGCAATAAAAGTTATCATAATTTGAAGAAAAAATTTCCTTAAAACTACAGAATTTTAAAAGTAGGGATGTGTTATGATTGGGCCCTATAAAAAAATATTTGGTGTCTGTTATGTGCTTACCACTGAGTTAGGGGACATGCCAAAAGAAATGTAACCTCAAAATTTCACTATCTAATGGGATTAGTTGGGTCCACCTGAAACAATACAGAAATGTCTATAAATGCAAGTTGCAGCCTCCGGTACAGAATCGAAAATGATACAGAATCTCAAGGAGGGTAAAATCTGTGAAAACCGTGGTAGTTGGAAAAGGTATCATAGAAGAGTTAGAATTTGCATGATTGGAGCTGATTATTCATCAAGGAAAAAGATGGGATGGATCAGGGTGATGACTCAGGCAAGGTTAAGACAGGGGGACACGAATTAGCAAGGCTCACTCTTGTGAAAGGTCGGACTTCAGATTGACAGGAATGTTAGGGAGAGAGGTGATTCAGATTGGATAAATAAGGTGGACCCTGGGGAACCACGGAGAGGAGTCTGAACAGAAATTGGAGCAGGGAAGTTGCATGATGAAGTGATGTTTCGTGAAGGTGGCTCTGGCACTGGGGACTAGGGAAGACTTTAGAGGGCAAAGACGCAGTCAGAAGAGTCAGCTAAAACGTTGCTCAAGAATCCACGGGGTTGGGGATAATGGAAAAGCAGAGGAAGGATGGACTCCGAGTGCATTTTTTTTTAATTATGTTAATCACCATATATTACATCATTAGTTTTTGATGTAGTGTTCCATGATTGTTTGTGTATAACACCGAGTGCTCCATTCAGTATGTGCCCTTTTTAATACCCATCACCAGGCTAATCCATCCCCCACCCCCCTCCCCTCTAGAACCCTCAGTTTGTTTCTCAGAGTGCATAGTCTCTCATGGTTCATCTCCCCCACCGATTTCCCCACCTTCATTTTTCCCTTCCTACTATCTTCTTTTTCGTTTTGTTTTTAACATATAATGTATTATTTGTTTCAGAGGTACAGGTCTGTTATTCATCAGTCTTACACAATTCACAGCACTCATCATAACACATACCCTCCCCAATGTCTATCACCCAGCCACTCCATCCCTCCCACCCCCCACCACTCCAGCAACCCTCAGTTTGTTTCCTGAGATTAAGAATTCCTCATATCAGTGAGGTCATATGATACATGTCTTTATCTGATTGACTTATTTCGCTCAGCATAATACCCTCCAGCTCCATCCACGTCGTTGCAAATGGCAAGATTTCATTCCTTTTGATGGCTGCATAATATTCCATTGTATATATATATATATATACCACATCTTCTTTTCCATTCATCTGTTGATGGACATCTTAGCTCTTTCCATAGTTTGGCTATTGTGGACATTGCTGTTATAAACATCGGGGTGCACACACCCTTTCGGATCACTACATTTGTATCTCTGGAGTAAATACCCAGTAGTGCAATTGCTGGGTCATAGGGCAGCTCTATTTTTAACTTTTTGAGGAACCTCCATACTGTTTTCCAGAGTGGCTGCACCAGCTTGCATTGCCACCAACAGTGTAGGAGGGTTCCCCTTTCTCCACATCCCTGCCAACATCTGTCGTTTCCTGACTGGTTAATTTTAGCCATTCTAACCGGTGTGAGGTGGTATCTCATTGAGGTTTTGATTTCGATTTCCCTGATGCCGAGCAATGTTGAGCACTTTTTCATGTGTCTGTTGGTCATTTGGATGTCTTCTCTGGAAAAATATCTGTTCATGTCTTTTGCCCATTTCTTGATTGGATCATTTGTTCTTTGGCTGTTGAGTTTGATAAGTTCTTTATAGATCTTGGATACTAGCTCTTTTTTTTTTTTCTACTTTATTTTTTTTTTATTTTATTCTTATGTTAATCCCCATACATTACATCATTAGTTTTAGATGAAGTGTTCCATGATTCATTGTTTGTGCACAACACCCAGTGCTCCATGCAGAATGTGCCCTCCTCAATACCCACCACCAGGCTAACCCATCCTCCCACCCCCCTCCCCTCTAGAACCCTCAGTTTGTTTTTCAGAGTCTATCATCTCTCATGGTTCGTCTACCCCTCCGATTTCCCCCGCTTCATTCTTCCCCTCCCGCTACCTTCTTCTTCTTCTTCTTTTTTTTTTTTTCTTAACATATACTGCATTATTTGTTTCAGAGGTACAGATCTGAGATTCAACAGTCTTGCACAATTCACAGCGCTTACCAGAGCAGATACCCTCCCCAGTGTCCATCACCCAGTCACCCCATCCCTCCCACCCCACCCCCCACTCCAGCAACACTCAGTTTGTTTCCTGCGATTAAGAATTCCTCATATCAGTGATATCATATGGTACATGTCTTTCTCTGTTTGACTTATTTCACTCAACATAATACCCTCCAGTTCCATCCACGTCGTTGCAAATGGCAAGATCTCATTCCTTTTGATGGCTGCATAATATCCCATTGTATATATATACCACCTCTTCTTTATCCATTCATCTGTCGATGGACATCTTGGCTCTTTCCACAGTTTGGCTATTGTGGACATTGCTGCTATAAACATCGGGGTGCACGTAGCCCTTCAGATCCCTACTTTTGTATCTTTGGGGTAAATACCCAGTAGTGCAATTGCTGGATCATATGGTAGCTCTATTTTCAACTTTTTGAGGAACCTCCATACAGTTTTCCAGAGTGGCTGCACCAGCTTGCATTCCCACCAACAGTGGAGGAGGGTTCCCCTTTCTCCGCATCCCCGCCAACATCTGTCGTTTCCTGACTTGTTAATTTTAGCCATTCTGACTGGAGTGAGGTGGTATCTCATTGAGGTTTTGATTTGGATTTCCCTGATGCTGAGCGATATTGAGCACTTTTTCATGTGTCTGTTGGTCATTTGGATGTCTTCTTTGGAAAAATGTCTGTTCATGTCTTCTGCCCATTTCTTGATTGGATTCTTTGTTCTTTGGGTGTTGAGTTTGATGAGTTCTTTATAGATTTTGGATACTAGCCCTTTATCTGATATGTCATTTGCAAATATCTTCTCCCATTCTGTCGGTTGTCTTTTGGTTTTGTTGACTGTTTCCTTTGCTTTGCAAAAGCTTTTTATCTTGATGAAGTCCCAATAGTTCATTTTTGCCCTTGCTTCCCTTGCCTTTGGCGATGTTTCTAGGAAGAAGTTGCTTCGGCTGAGGTCAAAGAGGTTGCTGCCTGTGTTCTCCTTTAGGATTTGGATGGACTCCTGTCTCACATTGAAGTCTTTCAACCATTTGGAGTCTATTTTTGTGTGTGGTGTAAGGAAATGGTCCAGTTTCATTCTTCTGCATGTGGCTATCCAATTTTCCCAACACCATTTGTTGAAGAGACTGTCTTTGTTCCATTGGACATTCTTTCCTGCTTTGTCGAAGATGAGTTGACCATAGAGTTGAGGGTCCATTTCTGGGCTCTCTATTCTGTTCCATTGATCTATGTGTCTGTTTTTGTGCCAGTACCATGCTGTCTTGATGATGACAGCTTTGTAATAGAGCTTGAAGTCCGGAATTGTGATGCCGCTGGCTTTGCTTTTCTTTTTCAATATTCCTCTGGCTATTCAGGGTCTTTTCTGGTTCCATACAAATTTTAGGATTATTTGTTCCATTTCTTTGAAAAAAGTGGATGGTATTTTGATGGGGATTGCATTGAATGTGTAGATTGCTCTAGGTAGCATTGACATCTTCACAATATTTGTTCTTCCAATCCATGAGCATGGAATGTTTTTCCATTTCTTTGTGTCTTCCTCAATTTCTTTCATGAGTATTTTATAGTTTTCTGAGTACAGATCCTTTGTCTCTTTGGTTAGATTTATGCCTAGGTATCTTATGGTTTTGGGTGCAACTGTAAATGGGTTCGACTCCTTAATTTCTCTTTCTTCTGTCTTCTTGTTGGTGTATAGGAATGCCACTGACTTCTGTGCATTGATTTTATATCCTGCCACTTTACTGAATTCCTGTATGAGTTCTAGCAGTTTTGGGGTGGAGTCTTTTGGGTTTTCCACATAAAGTATCATATCATCTGCAAAGAGTGAGAGTTTGACTTCTTCTTTGCCAATTTGGATGCCTTTGATTTCTTTTTGTTGTCTGATTGCTGTGGCTAGGACTTCCAATACTATGTTGAATAGCAGTGGTGATAGTGGACATCCCTGCCGCGTTCCTGACCTTAGGGGGAAAGCTCTCAGTTTTTCCCCATTGAGAATAATATTTGCTGTAGGTTTTTCATAGATGGCTCTTATGATATTGAGGTATGTACCCTCTATCCCTATACTCTGAAGAGTTTTGATCAAGAAAGGATGCTGTACTTTGTCAAAAGCTTTTTCTGCATCTATTGAGAGGATCATATGATTCTTGTTCTTTCTTTTGTTAATGTATTGTATCACATTGATTGATTTGCAGATGTTGAACCAACCTTGCAGCCCAGGGATAAATCCCACTTGGTCATGGTGAATAATCCCTTTAATGTACTGTTGGATCCTATTGGCTAGTATTTTGGTGAGAATTTTTGCATCCCTGTTCATCAGGGATATTGGTCTGTAATTCTCCTTTTTGATGGGGTCTTTGTCTGGTTTTGGGATCAAGGTAATGCTGGCCTCATAAAATGAGTTTAGAAGTTTTCCTTCCGTTTCTATTTTTTGGAAGAGTTTCAGAAGAATAGGTATTAATTCTTCTTGAAATGTTTGGTAGAATTCCCCTGGGAAGCCATCTGGCCCTGGGCTTTTGTTTTTTGGGAGATTTTTGATGACTGCTTCAATTTCCTTAGTGGTTATAGGTCTGTTCAGGTTTTCTATTTCATCCTGGTTCAGTTTTGGTAGTTGATACATCTCTAGGAATGCATCCATCTCTTCCAGGTTATCTAATTTGCTGGCATAGAGTTGCTCATAATATG